GCCTTTATGGCTTGAACAATTAAGCTTGCAATGGTTTTTAAAATCTGGTACCCTATGGTCATTTGACTTGGAAGTTATCGGTCGAAAACTTATTACATGGGTTATTTAAAAAGTTTAAAGGAGAGAATGTTTCAAATAAAGAAAAAAATTATTCATAAAAAAAATAAAGAAAAAAGCTGCATGAAACAGAAAATGCACCAAATGTTTTGATTAAGTCTCAAACACGCTTTTAAAAAAAATTGACTTTTGATAAGAGATTGTTAACATAATTAAGTTCTAGAGATTGAAGCAATCAAACTCAATGAAGAATCTTTATCTATTGAAATGTTGAACTGCAATTTATGAAATTTTGTCAAATTAGAGAGGTGATAGTAAAAAAAATCAACCTTAGTTCACACATTGGAAAAAAGTGAAAAGAATAAATTTAGGAGTGTTTAAATCTTACGAGTAATGAAAGAACATATTTGACCATTAAGGGTCAGGAATTAAAACACCTTATGAATTTATAATTATATGCTTAATTCTTCACACACACGTCGATTTTACATTGGAAAAGTAGATTTTAATTTATGTATTGTGATTTTGAAGCCGTCATAGATTTGATATTATGATTTCAATCTCGAGATAAAAAGATAGGTTAACTAACTAAATCTTGTTGCTTTACTTGATTAATTGGCCACCAATTAGGTAATTAGTATGGCTTGTTTGTGTGTTTGTTAAGTTTTATTTTTGTTTCAGGACAATCAAAAATTCAAGTTTGGGAGTGTGATAAGTGTAGTTTCTACACTTATTTGAGATCCTAAATAATGATATTTTATATTTTCGTTTGGATAAAATTCTACCTAATTTATGTTATATTATATTTTGTAGGTAAAACTTTATGTTAAATGAAAAATTGAAGAACAGATTGCAAAAGGTAGTTAAAAATGGCAAAATCCAAATATGAAACATTAGATAGAAATAGTACATTAAACGTGTTGGAGTTAAATGAGTCTCAATGGATTTG